CCATTATAAGCAATCTGTGGACACCTAAAGGAGCTAGCCGATGGGCCCGGAAAGTGCCCTCAAGACTCGAGATGCTGGTGGCACTTCACAACACAGTTCTCGGGAAGATGAATTTGGCTATTGCAGGCCAAATGGTCTTTCCAGGAGACTCTGGCATGGGGTGGAAACTTCCAAATGCAACTCAGAATCTAGCCTGGGAGATGAGTCAATGCTAGCCACCTGCTATCTTCTTCTTAGGCGAGAATACCGATTTGAGACCTTAGAAGTCTACGTTTATAATTCTTCAACCATGAAGGCAAGGCGTAGGTTACTTTACACCACCCAATTTTGCCTGTTCCTTACTGAACCAAGCAAAATGAGAGACAAAGTCTATATAATAGGCGCTTCCTTTACTGGAAGCATTTAACAAGCAGACTTATTTTATATTCTGTGTTTGCTAATCCCAGTATCTGAAGTCCTTGGAGGCCTAATCATACTGTTTGTTTCTGCTGACTCAGTCATGGTGGGTTGTTGATTCTCTGAACTTGAAACTGCTAATATTTGGCTGATCTTACTTTGTCAAAATCCTGAGGGGCCCAATTGAGTTCATATCCCCCCAAGAGCATCGTATTTATATTCAGCCAGGAATCCTGGAGCTTCCAACCCTGCAGCATTAACTCCTCATTTTATGCTTTCCTGGACCATGCAGGGAATACAGCATCAAGCCCCAAATTCACAAGGCCATTTTGGGACTACGTTTACAGGGGAGACCTTTACCCCACACTGAGCACACACTTTTCTGGTATGTTCCCTTGGCGACTTTCACTGGAGGTAGAATTCTTTCAGGCTCCTGGGTGATGCAAGGGTCTGTCCTAAATACTGCATGAGTCAAAGACTTGTCTTTTGTTCCCAAAGCCATTAAGACCTGAGGCTGCAGGACCCTGGTATTGATAGATGTCACCAGGCAGCCTGTAGCTTCGGGACACACTGCATCATCTGGCCGCCACTTTAATTATTGGCCTCTGAAATTGACTCTGGATTTTGGAAAAGCCTGGCGTACTCTTCCCAGTGTTTCTAGATATTTATACTGAGAATATTGAATCTTTATCTACCCAAAGAACTCGCATAGCATGCCAGACACCTGACCCACTGGTTTCAGCGCCCCCGCCACCTCCACCCCAGGGGAGAGTCTCACCTGCTATATTACCAAGAGCCCACACTGCCTGTTCACACACAGTCATGTGGGGGGAAGACAGGAGCTCAACCAAAGGTGGGATGGCCCCACCTTCCACAACAGCTTGAGTCTGCTCTGAAGTCCCGGAAGCAATGTTGGTCAGAGCCCAAGCTGCCTCGAACTGCAAGCAGGGGTGAGGTGACAACTTCAGGAACTCCACCAGCCTGGGAATGAGCCCTGCTTCAACAATCAGTTTTAGAGGAGGGTTCCTTTCCTGGGACAGCATTTTCCTTTGCAATGAAAGAGGGAAAAAATTATAAACACACACACACACACACACACATATACACAAGTCATGTGAAGCTGATATTAAGAACCTTCTTTATAAATGTTCTTGGCATTCCTAGCTATCAGATGAGACTAACATGTGGGCCAGAGCTACTTAATATCCTAAAATCCAGTCTATAGCACTTTGCAGTGACAAAGCAACATTTTTCCCTTTAGGTATTATCTATGAGTTGAGATTCCTATAGAGGCCAATTTAAATTAAGCAATTCATCTCTGACAACACTTGCATATCTTAAGTTGTTCTCAAGGATGATGTAGAGGAACGATTTAGTCTCGCTTTTGAATGGACTTGCCTCTTCTTATATTGTGTGGGCATTTTGCCATTGCCACAAAACCAAATAGGCCACTGGAGCTCATTTCTAGCTAGGAACCTATAAACCGCAGAAGTCTGTTTGGCGGTACCTGGCTTCCTGGGTGGCCTGGAAACATAGGTCTGGATCTGAGGCATTCACGCCATTGATTATTTCTTGCAGGGTGAGGCTGACCTGCAAAGAGAGACACATTTAAGTCAGAGTCTCTGCCCACAGGAACCATGAAGGTCATCTAGTCCAGCCATCTATCTGATTAGAACAGGCTGGCTTGGACAGTATGTCCCAATCTGCACATTGGTCTACCTTAGGGGAGAGAAGAATACTTGGTGGTCTTATAGGTCTCATGAATCTGTGGGACACTCCCCATGCTCTGGGGAAGGGGTAATTCCTATCATCACTTGGATCCCCACCACCTTTTCAACCCCTGCAGTAAGAACATGTTAGTGATGACCAGCAAAAATGGCAGAGTAAGGACCTCCAAAAATTCTCTCCTCCATAAAAACAAGAAAACCAACACAAGTAGATCAACCTTCCGAACTCTAGAAATTGACCAAAGGCTTGTAGCAATTTGTTTTCTTTGAGCCAAAAAGAGATTGTTCAGGAAAAACACCTAATCTCAGGAAGAAGAATTCTAGGAAACAAAATGCATCAACGTACGAACAGGATTATACATCATGACCAACTGGGATTTAATCCAGGAAGGCAAGGGCAGTTCAACATATGAACATCAGCATAGTAGGTCATATTAATAGGATATAGGGGGAAAAGGAGACAATCATCTCAGAAAATGCAGGATAAGCATTTGACAAAATTCAGGCACACTTCCATGATAATAAACATTCAGCAATCTGGAAATAAAAGCCACCTTCCTCAACCTGATAAAGCCATCTAATAAAACCCCACACAGCTAGCACCATACTTAACAGTAAAAGATGGAAAGTATCCCCCCTAAGGTCAGGAACAAGACAAGGACGTCCACTCTTGTTGCTTTTATTCAACATTGTATTGGAAGTTCTAGACAGACTAATTAGGTAAGAAGAAAAAAAAGTCATCCAGATTGGAAAAAGAAAATTATTTCTATTTGCAAAATTCAAGAACTTGTATATGGGAGATCCTAAGGAATCCCCCCCACACACAAATAGAGGCTCAGCTAGGCTTCAGGATTAACATATGAAAATCACTTGTATTTCTATATACTAGCAATAAATAATCCAAAGTTGAAATTAAGAAAACAATTTTATTTTCGATGACATCAAAAAGAATAAAATACTTGGGAATAAATTTAACAAAAGTACATGACTTATATGCTGAAACTATAAAAAAAATTAGAGGGGATCTAATAAATTTAAAAAATTCCCATGATCATGAATTGGAAGACTTAACATTGTCAAGATGGCAATACTCTTATAAATTGATCTATAGATACAGTGTAATTTCCATTAAAATCTGAGCTGTCTTTATAAAAGAAACTGACGAGTTGGTTCTAAAATTTATATGGAAATGTAAGAGATCCCAAATAGCCAAAATAATCTTGGAAAAAAAAAAAAAAGAACTAAGTTGGAAAACACTTCCCAATTTCAAAACCTACTACAAAGCTACAGCAATCAAGTCTGTGTTGTGCTAACATAGGATACATATATTGATCAATGGAAGAGAATCCAGAGTCCACAAACTCTCACATTTACGATCAATTGATGTTAGACAAGGGTTTTAAGGCTATTCAATAGGGGAGAGGATGGCCTTATGATGCTGGGACAACAAGGTATCCACATGCAGGACAATGAAGTTGTCACACCCTACTCACACCATTTACAAAAATTTACTCAAAATGGATCAAAGGTCTAGACATAAGAGCTAAAACCATAAAACTCTTAGAAGGAAACAAACATAAATCTTTGTGACCTTGGAGCAGTCAATGGATTCTGAAATATGATGTCTAAATCACAAGCAACCAAAGACAAAAGTGGACAAATTGAGCAGTTTCAAAATTTAAAACTTCTGTGCTCCAAGGATTCTACCAAGAAAGTAAAAAGACAATCCACAGAATAAGAAGAAATATCTGCAAATCATATCTGGTAAGGGTCTAGTCTCCAGAATAGACAGAATAAAGAACTCTTACAACTCAATGATAGAAGGACAAATTACTCAAGTTTAAAAATGAGCAAAGGGTTTGAATAGACATTTCTCCAAAAAGATCTACAAATAGCCAATAAGCACATCAAAAAATGATCATCATCAGTCGTTAGGAAAACATGTCAAAATTGTAACAATATGGCCCTTTGTACCCACTAGATAGCTACAATCCGAAAACAGACAAGTGTTGGCAAGAATGTCAGAATGTACAATGGTGCAGCTACTTTGGGAAATAGTTTGGCTGCCTATTTGTTTCCTATTGTTACTGTAAAAATCACCACAAATTTAGTGGCTTCAAACAACACATTCTTTCACAGTTCTGGAGGTCAGAAATTCATCATCAGCTTCACTGGACTAAAGGCAGGGCTGGCCCCTCCTGGAGGCTCTTAAGGAAGAATCTGTCTCCTTCCCTTGTTCAGCTTCTAGTGGGGCCACCTGCCTTCCTTGGCTTGTGATCCCCTCCCTCCATCTTCAAAGCACAACATGCTAATCTCTGCTTCTGTGGTCCTATCACCTTCTGCTCTAACTTGTCCTTCATCCTTATTATAAGGACCGATGTGATTACACCAGACCCATCCAGCTAATCCAGAATAATCTCCCCATCTCAAGATCCTTAACTTAATCACACCTACAAAGTCCCCTTTGTCATACAAGGTAACATTTACAGGCTCTGGGGGTTGGGAGATAGAGATATTTGGGGGGGAGGGGCACTATTCAGTTTACCACAAGCAGTTCCTCAAAGAGTTAAATGGGATAATCATAGGACCCAGCAATTCTACTCCTAGGTATGCTCAAGAGAATTGAAAATATGTCCACACAAATACTTGGGCACAAAGCAGCATTATTCATAATAGCCAAAAAGTGGAAACACAAGTCCACCAACTAATGAATGGATAAACAAAATGTGGTATATCCATACAATGAAGTATTTTTTTAAGATTTTATTTATTTATTTGAGAGAGAGCACGAGAGGGGGAGGGTCAGAGGGAGAAGCAGACTCCCCAGTGAGCAGGGAGCCTGATGTGAGACTCGATCTTAGGATTCCAGGATCACGACCTGAGCCGAAGGCAGTCGCTTAACCAACTGAGCCACTCGGGCGCCCCCATACAATGAAGTATTAATCAGCTATAAAAGGAATGAAGTACCAACACATGTTACAACATGGACAAACCTTGAAAACACTATACTGAGAAAAAAAATAAACCACACAAGGCAACTTGGAGAACGTGTACAGCTATTCTGTTTGAGGACCCCTACTGTGTCATCAGGCCCACTTGCCCAGATTGAACTCATCTCTGCCCCATAGGAGTCCTAATCCCAGCAGGGTGCAATGATGCACGTGGATGGCTAAGGTGGGACATAGATGGTGACAGATCATAAAAGGCATGTAGATACAAGTCTATTGGAGTCAAAGAAGAGAAACTCCCCCATCAGGTCATTCCAGAAAGGATTTGCAAAAACAGTGTTGGCCTGCAAATCAACCCAGAACTTGCACTGAGGGAAGTTGGGGTGGATGGGGAATGGAAGATAGAGGACAGCATTCGGGTCCCAGGCAAGACTTTGTATGTTGAGTGACTGGATGCTTCTAACAGAGAGAGAACATCTGTAACCCCTCATTTCCTGTTTCTGGCCAAGTGGTGGCAAGTGAATTTCCATTAGAAGCAGCATCTTGTGTACCCCACCCTGCTCAGAAAACAGATCCCAAACTCACAGCCACAAACCTAATGCCCTTTAGCTTTCCGAAACCACCAGCTCTAACCATGATCTCTCCACCCCTTTCCTCAAAGACTCTCAATTAGAACTTGCAAGTTCTGAATCTATTAAAACATTTTCAAGCCAGAGAAACTTGCTAAGGACGTGTTTCTCACACACACAACTCTCCTGAACACCACATTGCTAATGTACCCCTTTGGTTAGTTGTCCAGAAGCTGGGTCAGGGGAGAAATTGGTGATATTTCTTCTCTTTAAGGCCTGCTCATCTTTCTTGGCCTTCCGGAGCTCCAGGCTGACTGCCATCCGCTGTTGCCGCCTCATCTAGTGAGGAAAAGAAAGAATTGGAGCCCTTAGAGCAGGGAAGTCAGGTTTTCACCACATTTAGCTTTTAGAACACTCATCAAAGCGTCAGATTTCACTCTTACAGATGCAACAGGCTGGAAGAGTTAAGATCACACAGCAAATAGTCTCAGCATGGTTTACTTCTGCTTTCTCCTACTATACCACATCCACGAAAATAGTCAAACTTCTTCTCAAAGTGAAGGAAGCCTATCTACAGTCTTGGCAGGCCAGGAGTCTCTCAGCTGCGGAGCCATCTGAGCAAAGCATCCCATTGCCCCGAGTCTGAGCCCATCTTCCTCAGTGCTAATTGGTCCCTGAAGAGCAGGCCAGGGCTTCCCAACTTTGGGGATCCAGGCACGGCTGGGGACTATGAAGTCCATGAAGACATGCTCCACATGACCCTGACCATTTCCACCATTAGGGATCAGTCTACAGGTCATTCAAGCCTTGATCCCGTCCCAGGAGTCTTACTTGGATGCCAGACTGAGGGAGATTAAAATTAAAAACAAAACAAAACATACCCTTTTTTTCTTGGATCAAAAGAAACTCATAGACTTTAGTAGCATCAAGAATCCTGGGGGAAATGATCTATTCTTTAGATTAGATCTCTATTTTGCTATATTTGCTTTGTCATCCCCATCTTCTGATCCTCCACTCCATTTTTTTTTTTTTTTTTAAGACAAGGAGTGCTCATGTGCGTGAGCATGCATGCACGTGAGCAGGGGAAGGGCAGAAGGGTAGGGAGAGAGAGAATCTTAAGCAGGCCCCAGCCCCAGTGTGGAGCCACCAGGGCTCAATCTCTCCACCCTGAGATCACGTCCTGAGCCGAAATCAAGAGTTGGATGCTAAACCAACTGCACCACCCAGCCACCCCTGCTCCACCCCATTTTTTATGCATTTCAACCATGAGATTTTCACTACACTGCTCCTCCATAGAGTGAAGTGGTGGCTGGGTACTCACAGACGCATCTTTGCCTCGGTACTTAAATTTTCTCAGTCTCTCTTCGGGAGCATCTAAAGTCGGCATATTGACTGGAAGCAGTAAACCACCTGCCGGTAAGACAGTTATCAAGAGAGTCAGTGCTCAGTGTGCGGGTTCCTATGCCATCCTTGCTCTAAGCCCTGGAAGGGCTCACAGTGGATGGGAGAGCAGCTTCCATAGGCATTCCCACACTGCCTCAACAGGGAACGAGCACCATGGGAACCAGAGGCTAGCCCTGGGCTGCAGGAGGGAGGGATACCTTCCGCTTGAACTGGGCCTTTAATGGCTAGGGTAGGTTGGAAGGAAAGCCCAGAACCCTCTCATGTGGCTGTATCCTAGGAGTTCTGTACAGAGCGTATGCGCAGGATGGTGGCGCCCAACCAGGACAGGAAGATGGCCTCTTCTCCCACACCCAGTCCACCAACCCTCGGGTCACGATGGTCTCAAGCATGATACGCTCCTTCTAATTCTGTGGTTGATTACCTCGACCCCGGACCAGGCCACCATCATCTTCCAGCTACTCTATGGCAACTGCCTTCCACCTGTTCTCCCCGCTTCTACCATTGCTGTATTCCAATCTGTTCTCCACGCAGAGGCCACGTGATCTCTTAAAGATAATTTTCTCTGCTTCAAAACTCTCTAGTGGCTGCCTGCTGAGTTCAGAAGAAAACTCAGACTCTCTATGATGCCCACCCTGTGTGAGCTGGCCCCAGCCTGCTTCACCAAGAGCAACACTTTGAATTTCCATCTAAGAATCTAAGTATCATCCCAGTCGGTTTTTATATTCTCCAGAGCTTTTACCACCACCTAAAATCTTGTTTGTGCATCTTCCTTCCCCTTGCCCCAATGACAATGGGGTCATGTGTGTCTTATGTACAATTCCTCAGCCCTTTCACGATGCATGACATAGAGTAAGTAGGTACTCAAGTATTTGTTGGATGAGGATGGTAGGTAATAGGTCACAAAGGGAGCTGGTCCCTAATTAGAGGAGGTTATTCAAATCAGGCCACATTTTAACTTTCTACAAGGCAGCGGGGAATGACATTTCTTACAAGGGTGCAATGAGTATCCATCTGTTTCCAAGTACACGGGATGAGCCAAACTACACTGCAGAGAAAAGAAAACTGGATAAAGATGACCAGAGTCTATTGACTCTATTCTTGAATGTAGAACAGCTGGGATTAATTTCGGGAGGAAAGACTAATTTAGACACATCAATTTGGATGGGACAGTGTAGACAAGTAGGAGAATTCCAGAAGCAGAGAGCCAAGACTGAGGTCTTGAGAAGAGAGATGAACTGTGAGATGACTGAACAAGAACTCAATCTTGGTGATGTTCCCTACTAGGGCCCAAAAGAACAAAGAACCAGCAAGGGACAAGGAAAAAAGGAAATTTGAGTCAGAACAAAAGAAGGATAGTGTCCAAGGCACTGGTGGTAACAGCAGCTACCGGGCCGGGCACAAGTCCCTAAACAAAGTGCCACCAGCCACCCACAGCTGGATGGAGCCAATGGGCTGAGCCTCAGAGCAGAGGCATAAGCAGCTCAGGACAGAGAGTAACCATGTCCTATACTTTCATCTACCTTTAAGTAACCTCAAAATCTGCTCTATAAGGAAGAAGAGTTGCTTTTGGACACCAAAAAGTAAATCAGAACACTCCTTTAAATTTTTTTTTTTTTAATTTTAAGTAGGCTCCGCACCGCACCCAACATCAGGCTTGAACTCACAACCCTGAGATCAAGGGTCACACGCTCTACTGAGTAAGCCAGCCAGCTGTCCCCAGGACATCCTTTAAAACACCAGCTCAAAAGAGTTTTCTAGTTGCTATAATAACCAGGGTCAAGAGAGTTATCAGCTGGAAACGGAGATTTAGTTTGGAGCGAGGAGCTATACCCTACATCTCCAAGAGATAAGGCTCATGGCATTTTCTAAATCTGGAGTTGAGTAGTATTAAGGGCCCGGTTCAGGGAGTAATGGGCAAAACACACTTATCACATGCCAGGAATGTTGCACACTTGGGATTAAATGAAGCAACGTTAATAGTAAGGTAGAGATGGGGCGCCTGGGTGGTTCAGTCGGTTAAGCATCTGACTCTTGATTTCAGCTCAGGTCATGATATTGAGGTCATGATATCAAGCCCCGCTTTGGGCTTCGTGCTCAGTGGGGAGTCTGTTTAGGATTCTCTCCCTCCCCCCACTTGCACACACTCTCAGGCGTGCGCTCTCCAAAATAAATAAAATTAAAAAAAAAATAGTAAGGTAGAGATAGCCCCATTTTACAGATGGGGAAACCATCTCAGAGGTCACTTCCCTCGGAAGCCCAGAGTGCCCACAGCTGTCAGGCATCAGCATCAGGACTACAGCCTAGATCTGACTCCTGCGTCCATGCTTTGGATCACTAAGCTTTGCAGCCAACAGTCTGTAAGTAGTTCTGATGAGGAAGATAAGTCACCCCCATGGGTGGCACTTAACACATGGAGGAGATGTTGGAAATAGGAAAGCACAGGTCTCCGGCAAGGGAGGCCACTTCTGAAATACTCCGCTAATGCATTGCCACTTCACTGCTTTCTCACTCACTGTTCGCGGCCCGACCAGCTCGGTCCACGAGACCCTCTGAATGTGCCTCAGAACGAGGCCAGTTTGGTACAAGGGGATGAAATGCTTTGGTTTCTGGCGAGACCCAAGACAGTGCCTGGTTCCAGGACTATTCCATGAGAACCATTCATCTTTCAGCCACAGCCCAGAACAAATGGCCATTAAGGAACCTTGGAAGTAGGTCCAGAGGTTCAGATGAGTGCTACCTTCCTTCAAATATCAAGGGGAAGGCCAGTATGGCACAAGCAGAAAAAGCTCAACTTCAGAGGGAACAGTGTCCTCCTCCTCTCCCCACCCCCCCCCCGGGGGGCATCTTGAAGGAACAGTTTGAAAGTCACAGATGTAGCCAAACCATTCATTTGGGGACAATCTGAAGAACGAATTCTTCTGGCTTTCACAGGTTTCTCTAGTCACAGCTCAGAGTGTGCTTCCTTCCCTCACATTGCTGTTTGCAGCATCCAGGAGAACCACCACCCTGCCACCCTTCACCAGTGGCATCAAGAGCCAAGCTGGAGGCTTTGAGTTAGGTACAAGATCAAAGTCAGAACCTTTCGTCATCAGTTCCCAGAGTCTGAGATCCAAAGAAAGCCAAACTGGTTATTTGGGCAAAGAGCACCAACTTAGGGGCATTATTTACACACCCCCCCGGCTCAGGCAGCTCTGCAGCTCCCCGCACACTAGGAGACTCTACCCTGGGAGAGTCAGGTGGCAGAGGCCCCACCAAGGGTCCCTGGCCATGCTCATGGTCTTCCAGGCTCCCAAGCGGCTCTTGACCTTTCATTCTTTTTGACTGAAGAGAAACTAGGGACTCCTAAGTCTTGTTCATGGCACTGAGTCACTTTCTCTGGTTGGAGCATTACAGGCCATTTTTAAAATACTTCTTCTAGATCTAGCCAAGCTTTGAGTGTTAGCATCTTTCAAGAACTGAGAACTATTTTAAATTAAGATCGAGATCATCCAAGAGTTGGCTTCTAGAAAGGCGCATTTCTCTGATTTTACATTAACACTCATGGTATAGACAATTTAATACCTCAGAAATGTATTGAGCATTAACTCCCATAACCTACCCTCCTCCAAGTTAGCCTTTAAAAACTCACACCCACCCTGGGGGGCTAATTCTGGAAGAGGAGTTTCATAGACACGGTTTGGCCACACATTTCTCCACTTGCCTGTACTGTGGATTTTTTTTTTTTTTTAAGATTTATTTAAGTAATCTCTACGCCCAATATGGGGCTCAAACTCACCATCACGAGATCAGAGTCACATGCTCTACCCACTGAGCTAGCCAGGTGCCCCAACTAGGGACATCTTTTGATGTCAGAATGCTCAGATCTGGGGTACCTAGGTGGCTCAGTCATTAAGCATCTGCCTTTCGGCTCATGTAATGATCCCAGGGTCCTGGGATCAAGCCCCACGTCGGGCTCCCTGCTCAGCGGGAAGCCTGCTTCTCCCTCTGCCTCTCCCCCTGCTTGTGTTCCCTTTCTTGCTGTGTCTGTCAAATAAATAAAATCTTAAAAAAAAAAAAAAGAATGCTCAGATCTACAGCACTAACAGCCACTTCTTCAAACCAAGTGGGATTTAAGCTAAAACTACACATGGGGTTGGAGTGAGGGTCATTCCCTGGGAAGACCCACTGACCTCAGCCCCAGTGACGGGTCAGCAAGCAGGCATGAGTACAGGGATGAAGCAACAGTCATGGGAGTGTGCAGGCCTGGGGGGCGGGGGTGCCATGAGGGCAGGGACCCCACCTTGGTATTCACGGGGCTTTACCAACATGGACAAGACGTGTCCAGACCCGAAGTTTGATGGAGGGAGGCACACAGTCAGGCGTCCCTCCAAGGCTCACATTGGCCCAGAGGGGAGGCAGAGGTCACAGCAAGAAAGGACGCAGGACCCCAGGCCCTCTTCCCAGGGATCCTACCTCAGGGCTTGGGAATGCTCTGGGAGGGGGCAGAATCAGCCGGGGATGATTCCCACGGGTGAACATGTCCCGGGGGATATTTCAGGGAAAGGAAAGACAGGTAAAGGCGCAGACACACAGATTTATAGGCTGTTGTATGGTCAGGCTCCCCATACCCTGCCAGCCCCCATCTGGGCTCTGCTGAGTAAACAGACATGCAGCAATTGCCACATCCTCCTTACCCACCCAGAAAACAAGCCAAGTGCCACTTCGCGCAATTTCGTTAAACCGAGACTGAGTTCAACAAGGAGAGACCCAGCCTGGGCTGGAAGCCGTCCCTCTGAGGAGGCCACTGGCTTTTGCCGGGGGGGTGTTGCCAAGACTGCAGCAGCCTCACCCAATCCCCAGGCAAGAGCTAGGTGTCTCGTCTATACCCAGACAGAGGAATCCGGGAGGGCACGGCCACATTGGGAGCTCCCGGCACCCACCCTCTCACCACTCACCTGGAAGACAGCCACAGCCTCCAGCCCCCTGGCCGGCCTTAAATGCCCT